AAAGGGCATTGACATATCAATATTAGAACTATAAAAGACAATAATGCAAAGTTTGAAGGAACGATTGTGCAATAAATTCTAGAAAAATGCTAGGGGTACACCAAATGTATACCCCATTTGTCCCCCACCCCTCCATTTCCCCAAAAATGGACAAGATATTAAAAAAAATTAATAAATAAAAATGGATTAAAAATGAATGGTGGAGAAAGAAGTGTGGGACAAATGGGGTACACCTTTGGTGTACCCCTAGCATTGCTCTAAACTCTAGACTTTGAGGACAGAGGGAGTACAAAAAAAGAGTATGCTAGGGGTACACCAAATGTGTACCCAAATCTACATCACTCCCTTTTTCACCATTCATTTTGTTTTGTTGTTTTGTGGTGATAGAAGGGGTGGAGATGTTTGAGGTATACTTTTTTAGTACATCCCTAGTCCCCTAGCATTTTCCTACAAAACAACCCGTAGTATACAGTTGATTATTAGAGGTTCAGACTAAGGATTTATTTTTGTTCCAAAAAAGGACAAAGTCAGAGAGCTTACGTCCGGAACTGATGGAAGGGTTTTGGGGCTATTTCCGGCCAGATTTGATCTCCATAAGTGGTTTCAAGCTGACCCATACCCATTTTTAAGCTCTCTGAATTCAGTGGTAAGCCATTTCCTTTTAAAATTAATTTTGCTTAAAGTTATTATCTCTTATAATCTGTACCCATCTGTTTGAGTAAAAGTTTGAGATTTCGGTACAATTATGAGATTCCAAAATAAAAATCATTTCCCATGGGGAGGATTAACTCATATTCTTATACATTAGTCCTTTTTTAGCCCGTATATACCCAACAATTTCTTTGTGGGTCTTAGTTTATAATCTTGTTCTAAATTTATGTATATATGTTTTGCAATATTAGAATTATTATTCAAGCTTGCAGTGATGTTTCTATGGCACTCCTTCCATCCTATAAAAAGAGTTCCATTTCTCAATTTGTTTTAAAATATAGGTGTAGGTAGTTTTTCTAAAAGTTGTCCTTTAATAAAATTAACAAAAGTTGCACATTCATCATTGCGGACTGTGTTAATGGGACTTAGAGCTTGTTCTCTTCAACTATCAAAAACCCCATTCGAATTACATTACATGTCATTATTGGCAAGAATATAATATGCTATGTAGTTTTTTTTGTTGATAATTCATTATAATTTCTTGCCAAATATGGTTAGTGGACAACTAAATCGGGATGTACTAAAAAGGAAAAGTCTACATCAGTATGGGTCGAAGTCATGGAAATCATAATTATATCTACTCGGTACTCGCACACAAATATAATAATATGTATAATATGTGTATATAAGCAGGCATATATAATAGTAGGTGTTACAACATTAGTGAAGTGGGAAACCACTCTTTACAAATGTAGGACATTTGGACCTTTAATCCCCTAAGAGGCGTTTTCTTTCTTGTTTTGTTTGAAAAGTATTCTCATATATATTAACATTTTAGTTAACAATAGCTGGTTAGCTGCAATAGACTCAAGTGGAAAGTCTCTACCTAGCCATCAAAACACAAGGGGTTTGAGCCTCTTCTTGAACACATTTTGTTTCTTTGGAAGCTCATAATAAGGGTTGAATTTCAATGCGGTACATTCTGTTGTGAGATACATGTATTGCCTTTATAGTCTTAATTTGGCCCTCCATCGCGACCAAAATATTTGCACACGCATTGTGTATAGTTGTATACTATGTGGATGTGATACTTGATTTTTTCTGCAGGAAGATTATCAAGCGACGTGTGGGAGCCATCTTATTAAATGTAGCCTTTTTGGGTTCAACATCTTTTCACTGCACACACAATGGTATGCCATGAATCTAACCCGCTTTACTGTAAGTTCAAACTTTTGCCTGTGAATTCCAAAATGTGAGTCTGGTATGTAAATAACTTTCGCACTGCACACACAGTGATATATCATTGATTTTTAACTTACCTTGTTGTAAGCCTTATGTTTGTGAATTCCAAAATGTAAGCTTGATGATATGTTTACCATTGGAGTAAATATATCGTCTTTTCTCATTTACACATATTATGTTTTTTAAACGTATAATAGTGGTACGATACTGTGAAAGTAATTAGTTTATATCATTAGATCCATAGCTGTGTTTTTGTAAGTAGTTTCTTGAACGGTGTTCTTAAGGTTTCATCCAAATCTCAAGAACTTCACAATCCATAAGGTTTCATAGTCTTGATAGATACCTTCTTTGTATGTTACTATGCAGAAGCAAATGGAACCCTTGAAGACTGAAACAGACCTTGACCAGATCAGCAACTTGCCAGCACAGATTACTGACAAGATCTTGTCACACCTGTCATTGAGGGATGCTGTCACGACAAGTGTCTTGTCCAGTAAATGGAGATACAAATGGGTTACCCTTCCAAACCTTATATTTGACAATGGTCTTTTGGTTTCTTTCCAAGACCATTCCATGATAAAAAGTAAGATAGTCAGCATAGTTGACCACGTCTTGTTGCTTCACGTGGGACCCATAAACAAATTCAAGCTTTCTCACCGCGACCTTCAAAACGTCCCCGACATTGATAAATGGGTTCTCTTCCTATCGAGAGGTCCTATAAAGGAATTCATACTTGAGATTTGGAAAGGCAATCGCTATAAACTCCCGTCTGCTACTTACCTCTTCCACAGATTGGTCCACTTGGAACTGTTCAATTGTCTTTTGAAACCGCCCGTGACATTCAATGGTTTTAAATGCTTGAAAAGTCTTGATCTTCAGCACATTTCCATGGAACAAGAAGCATTCGAGCATCTCATCTCTAGCTGTTCTTTGCTCGAGAGATTGACTTTGATGAATTTTGATGGTTTTACTCATCTCAAGATTCATGCTCCCAATCTCATCTACTTTGATGTTGGGGGCACTTTTGATGAGTTGAGTTTCAAGGGTACCTCCCAACTAGCAATAGTGTCGATTGGCTTATATCTAAATGATGGAAATGAACAAAACCTAGGCTTCGCGAGGAGTGGAAATCTAGTCAGATTTTTTGCTCATTTGCCAAGAATACAAAGGCTTGAAGTGCAGAACTACTTTTTGAAGGTATTCCTAAATCCTATTATTCTATTGGATATTTGGATAAAGCATTGTGATGATGTAAGGATTTTGGAGGGCTTAATCTATATCTTGACGAATCTAATGTTTGTAAAAACAAACAGATGCTGGTTGAAACATTATATGGTCACACATGACACGCTATATTATATTTTTTCACTTTTTAATATATAAAATCTCAATTCTGTATCAAGATGTAGACTTTTAGCCCTCAAAAACCCTCCATCCAAACTCACCCTTAAGAGGTTCATTCTTTTTTTCTTGAATGATTTTGAGATCCCGTGATCTTCAAATGTCATCAATTAATCGCACCATTGTTGCTATTGGCCTCTCTCCACATTAGCACAGGACTAAGACAGAAATAAATTAGTAAATAAAAAAGACATCATTCATCCCCTAAAAAAATCAGCAACCAAACAAGTGAAACAAGACATTAGCGACGTGTTTCAATATTTCATTATTAACACATTTGTTTCTTTTTGCAGTATTTGGCTGCCGGTGTGGTACCGGGAAGATTATTGACACCTTGTAACGAGCTTAGTTACCTTTATATGCGGTTTAATTTCAACTCTGTGGGTGAGTGTCTAGCTGCTCTATGCCTTCTCAGGAGTTCTCCTAACCTTCAGGAACTTGAAGTTGTGGTGAGTAAATATCAGTTTGGTCTCACTTGCACCCTACTTACTTCGGCTTGTTTTTTCCGTCTTAACTTAACGGCTTGTTCTTTGCTTATAAGTCAAAAAAAGTAGGTCTTACTTATTTTTAAGCCAGTTTTTTCGTTTATCCGTTTTGACTTAGATTATTTACAAACCTATCCCTCACCATTTATGAATATTCCCAAATGACTTTTGTATCATCTAAATCATTTTACTCTCACGAGAAAATATTTGACTTATTAGCAACTTATAAGTTAAAAACTACTCCGTGCTTATCAACGATAAGCCAATAAGCACCAGCACAAGAGAAACGCCCCTGAAAATGAGACCCCACCTCCTATGTTTTATCCCCTAAATAGAAGCGTTGGCAGTGAAACACCCACAATTTGGTACTATTTTGGCATTTCACAGTGTCTTTTTGGACAGAGTTGGGCAGAGGAACAGAAATCAGAAGGTGGGAGTGCGACGATGGTGGAAGAGAAGTATGAAACTGTTTCCAAGTTTGACAGACTGCGAGAGGTGAAGATGTTTGGCCTCTTTGGGTTCGCACAAGAGCTCAGCTTCATAAAGTTTCTTCTGGGGAGTTCACCGCAACTTGAAACCATGACTGTGAAGCCCTTGACGAATGCTGGGTCTTGGGATCTGTTGAAACAGCTCCTTCGCTTCAGGCGCGCCTCTGTCCATGCCGAAATCATCTTCCTCGATCCCTAGCACCATGCATTACAATAATGGTGTGCTTCAACTGAAAGTCGGTTACACGGGGTGAATTAGGGTGTTTAACATTTTTTCGCAAAAACAAAAACTTAAACACGAAAGATAGCGAATCCTTAAGGGTGATTGATGGTCCCCCATAAGACCAATATCAACAACTTAAACAAGACTATTGTATGTTATATGGTGTATGGTTTATAGTATCATGCTTCCTATGTATCCCTGATTTTATACTCCGCCGATAAAATTCGTCTGTGTCCTTTTTTCGGTGTACAAAGAGCTCTTCTCATGTTTATGGGAGGAAGATTTTGATTGAGGCGGGAAGGTTGGTACAAGAGTATTTCCGCATTTAGCATTAGAGTTTTAAAAAAGTTATTTATCAACAATGTTTAGCTGTAGCATTTTTAAAGTTATTTTAAGCTATTAAAATTTGTATCCAAAAACTAATACTAAAAAAAATTCCCAAATTGTTGCATTACAAAAATATACTCCGTATGATGTGATAGCCTGATAGGTATGATAAAAATTAATTAGAATAAAAATAGTTCTTTAATAGAAACTGGAAAGAGTAAGACTTTGTGGGACAAGAAAAAAAAGAAATGAGAAGGAATTTTTGAGACGTAGTAGCAAGAATGTCACACCAAGCTTCTTCACGATACCACATTGATGCACCAAGCTTCTTCACGATACCACATTGATGCGTCTCGGAGCAACTTAAAAAAAAGACTGTTGTACACTTCTACATTTATAAAACAAGACTGTTTGGGGAGGGGAGGGAGCAATAATTTTGTGACCTATAAAGACAACAATAAGGGATTTAATTTGACAAAACCATACATTGAAGAAATATACACTCCGTCGTAGTGAAAATGATGGATTCAACGTTTGGAAAATTGGGGAGCTTTTCGGGCTTTCTTGAGCCCGACTTTCTTCCTCTCCACCACTCTGGAGTCCCTAGTCAGCAAGCCTCCTGCTCTCAAGGCTTTCCTATGGTCCTCGCTCACCTTCAGTAGAGCTCGGGCGATGCCAAGGGAGATTGCTTGAGCCTGTCCAGAAAGGCCACCCCCTTGCGCCTTCACAAAAACATCATAGCTTGTCTCATACCCAAAAGTAGCCAATGGAGTTCTGACATACTCAATCCACAATGGATTCCCTTGAAGATACTCCTGCAAGTGTCACCCCAAGATTTACACGATAATGGAATAGCAGAAACAAATTTAAAGTGGCCACTCATCGGGTATTTCTGATTTAGGTGAACACTCAAGTTTTTGAAAATGGTTCCACCCAGTGCAGAAAAGATGACATCAATATTTGCATGTCATTAGAATCAACATCAATATTAGTACCCGAATACCAAGTGGTTGGGGATTTGGGGTTGGTCACATTAAATTTGTAGTGCTAATTAATCACGGAGTATATAAAAATATTTTAGACTAAGTCATGCAAAAAGGCATAGGGGCATTGTTTTACGTTGGATGCCCTTCTTGTCGCAACTTTGCATGTCCATGATCATAAGTATGAGATGAATCATCATACATTGTGAAACTAATTCATGGTGACATTGCCTAACCCCAAATTTTCAATTTTATTTGTGCAATGCTCCTTCGAATCAATTTCATAAACAAGCAAACTTTCTAGTAAACTATCCAACTACCATGGGTGATTTTACTAAGTCTCTTCTCCGTTCAAAAAGTCTATCATTTTTTGAATTTCTTTGTGAGTTGCTATTAGCGTTTTATACCCCTAACACAATACTCAAGATCGTGCAACGATGCATCACCTGCAAGTTTGCAGCCTTAAAATACAAAGCCTGAGACTTGACCTCTATGTTCCAGAAGCAATATCTAGACCAACGCTGCTCTTGTTTGCTCAGAAATACAAGTCAGAAGCTGAATTTAAAGACATAGAAATGAAGCTAATTTGTGAACCGTGGAGGAAAATAATGTGCATGGTTGAAATTTCAAAGATGGATTCTTAAAAACCTATACAAAAACAGCCTACCCAATAAAACTTCAGACGTAGAGCCTAGGGGATGAGCTTGCGTATACCTTATCCCTGCCTAAAGAAGGTAGAGAGAATGTTTCTGAAAGATCCCCGGACGCAAGAACAGAAACAAAAGAGTAACAAGGTTTCAGTTTAGAAAAGTCCAACAAGTAAATCGAACACTAAACAAATTTGAAAATGTGAAGAAAGATGCAATGCCAAAAAAATAAAAATAAAGGGTCACCAAACAACACAAACAAGCAAATCAGAACAATCACATAGGGAGTAATTTCTAAAAGAAAACAACAACAAACACTGTAAAACTCCACAAAAAGTAGGGTTTTGAGAGGGTGTGTTTACTGTTTAGGAGACCTTACCCCTACTTGGAACAAGGGAACCATGGCAAAATTAAAGCAAAAGGTGGAGGGAGATTAGAGGAACACAAATAGAACTTCAAAAGCAAGCAAAAATAAAAGAATTGGAACACAGAGTTCAAGTCTCAGACTTCTCAAATAGATTCAGCTCAATGCTTTCAGAATCAGAAAAACCAAAACATAGCAATGCAGCTACTTTCTTAATTCAATAATGTTTTCCAGCTTACAGCTTCGTACTACAGTGCCTGCCAAAATTGTCATATCCACACAATAATAAGCCTAGTTGTTTCTAAGCACGGTGAATTAGATGTGTACCTTGGCGTCTCGATAGTTTATGATCACTTTGCCGGAACCTTCCTGGAGGACCACACGAGCAATGGCGGATTTCCGGCGGCCAGTTCCGAAAATAGGTTGAGCAGCGAAGCCTCCAGGAAGCCTAGACTTCACGAATTTCTGGAGGTCGGCGGTTTCCAGGTCCTCCGCCGACGGAGCTGCCACGGCGGCGGCTGCTCTTAGCAGGTTAGGGTTCTTAGGCGTAAGAGACAGCGAGAGGTGGTTCGAGCTGCTAAAAGACAGCGCGCGGGGCTTCTGAGACTGAGGAGACGAGAAAGATAGAGCGGCGAAAGACGAAACCAGAGATGTCATCGGAACCGCCATTTACAATCTGGTGTACGGTGGACGTGCGAGGCTCTTTCTCCTTCACCCAAGAGGATGAGTTGTGAGGACAAGACCAAAAAAATTGAGCCCGCTGCATTAGAGTAATGCTAGGATACACCACCCTCTTTTCCTCCACATATTTTTATTTGATTTTTATTTACTTATTTTTTTTGAATTTTTTTGCCTTTTTTAGTGGACAAGAAGGGGGTGGGGGACATTTGGGTTACACTAAATTTTTCGTTGCATTATCATAATTCACACAAGCAAAAAATTTTAGAACCATGCTACAATTACACCAAAAAATGTACCCCACTTGTACACCACAGCTTTGCACAGACATTTTGATGATTTACACCGACATAAGTGTTGGTGCGTTAACAAAAATGTACACGGGCACAAATGTTGGTGCGTTAACAAAAAATTAGTTTTACACCAACACAAAATGTTGGTGCAAACCTGCGGGGTACAAATTGAGGTATAAATGTTGGGGTACACATAGCTTAATCCAAAATTTTATTGCGATAAATTTTTTAAGACTAATGCACTCACATCAGACTACTGACACAAAATAAAAGCTACTCCCTCCGTCCCAGAAAGAATGCCACGTTTACTATTCCAGTCTCTCGATAACTTTAGTTTGTTTACTGGTTTTGGTTGACCATTTGATAAAATAAAATATTCTTGTCGCATCTTGTTTTGTAGAACTTTTCATATACTTTTGAATGGTGTAATTTTTACTTTTTATTGCTCTACCAATTTGAAATTAAAGTGATTTTAAAAGGGGTGATATTTTATACGTCGTTTGAAGTGTTGCAAATAAATTGGGACGGAGGGAGTACTAATTTTGGGATAAAACTTAATCTTTGAGATTAAAAGTAGTTTTTGCACTTAATGACACACTCTCTTGTGAAAAAATTCTTGCACAAACTCTTTTGGTTACTTTTTTTGTAAATGTTAATCGAGCTAGAAGCTCACGTGATCAAAATACAAATGAAACTTAATTTAACACTTTTAAAATGATCATTTAAGTTAAAAATCCAAAAAAATGATCATTAAACCCATTATTTTGCCTTCTTCAAGTCAATACTAAAGATGTGATCTCTTCATCTTATTCCATACTTTTTTCGTATTAAGTAATACTTATTGTTATTAAAAAAAAGATCAAATCTAAGAGAAGTAAAGAAAAAAGAGTAAAGAATCTGACTTAATGAAGCTCCACCATGATCTTAGATTTATGAGATATTGCTCATAAAATATGTAGCTTGAGAAATTTACCTAAATAGGACTAAAACATAATGACTTTTCCAATATAGGACCATATGTTTTTATTTCCCAATGTAGGACTTTTGGTCATTATCAAATAGTCATTATTCAACTAAATGTCCATCATTATTAGACATTATTCCTTCCATTAGGTCATTATTAAGTCCTATTTAGGGAATAAAAAAGTTTAAGTCCTACATTAAGAAAGTCATTATGTTTTAGTCCTATTTAGTGCAAATTTCACATGTAGCTTGCATTAATTATCTAAGGTCTTAAAGATAAAAGAGTACTCAAATACTCCGTACTTTTTTACTAATAATTTACTCATCACATCTTACTTTAACCTATCATATCAAATGTATATTTAGAAAGTTAACACAAAAATATCTTTTAAATTTTTAGAAGGCCAAAATAAGAATATTTTTATGAGACGCAGGAAGTACATAAGAAATGTTAAAAACAAAGCCTCATTCATGTGAGATTATTAATGTCATAGATTGACTCGGGCTTCATACAGTGTTTCGTTTGAAGAATTGATGGTTCCTTCCCCTGTTCTCCCCTTGCCGGTTGGTTTTACTGATCAGCGTAGCCAACCGACAAAAGGAGGAGGGGGCTGGGGTGTAAGGATAGGGAGGGCAGGGGAGTAAAGGGATTAAAAAGGTAAGAACTAAGAACCACCAATTTTTTGAATATAGCAACAAAGGAAGCTTAGGTCATCTTATAGCATTGGACTCAATGAGACGATATAACATTAGAGGACCATAGATGATGAGAGAATGTGTTCATTTTTTAGTCATGCTAGAATTACATCAAAGTGTATACCAAAAGTATGCATTAATATTTTGATGGGTCAGTCAAAAAAATTTGACTAACATTTTGTACCTGAGTGAAGTATCACACTGACACAAAATGAAAGTGCGCCCGCCTCACATGTGATATACAATTGAGATACAATTTTTGAGGTTGAAGTATCTAAGTTTTTTTGTTTTGTTTTTTGTTCAGCGAGTGCAGAAAAAGAAGAAAGAAAGCTGATCTACCTCTAAGAGCAACTCCAACGGGTCATTTATAAATGACTAAAGTGTAAAATCTAAAAGATTTACCTTATACTGTACATAAATTGGGTCTCGAACGCATCCTTTATAAAATAGATTGAATTCTATTTTCCCTATCTCGTCGTTCATAAATAGGCGATACAATAGGTAGTGTATTCCACTATTCCATCTATTTTACGTTTTTACTTCTTTTTTGTCTCTGGTCTTCCCCTTTGTTCTCTGCCTGTTGTTGATAGTCTTGGAGGCCAACCCTAGTCGACAAGTACAGAGCAAATGGATTTCTTTTCTTCAAAAAATTTCAGGTGGTAAGCATCCATCGATTCAACAATTTTTTCCAGAAAGAGCAACTATGGATTGCAAAAAAATTTCTATCCGTTTGCTTCCGTTATTTTCTCTATATCTTGCCGGAACTTTTTTATTTTTTCTTTGGGAATTTTGCTGCATATTTTTCAAGATGTAATTTTTCTGAATTTGAAGAAAGTTTTGACGAAATAAAAATATAAAATATAAACTATATATATATATATATATATATATATATATATAATTAATTAAGTTATAAAAATGTATAATATCAATGTCATGGTTGGAGTGGAGATAAAAAATTAGAAGCTAAAACACTGATGAAAAGCTAATTGACATTTAGCTTTTAAATTTTTAGACTCGGAGATGCTCTAACTGACTAACGGTCTCTACTATCTCGCAGCATGCAAAATCTTCGGTTTGTGCGGGTGGTGCCCAACACAGGGCTCCTACGAAGAAGAATACGCACAATTACAATTACAAACACCTCCCCTTTCGCGTCCTCCATTCTCTTCTCTCATCGTCGCATTCTCAGATGGCCAAGTCCAGCGCCGACGACGCCGAGCTCCGGCGAGCCTGCCAGGCCGCGATCGAAGGAACCAAGCAGAAGATCGTAATGTCGATCCGAGTTGCCAAGAGCCACGGCGTCTGGGGCAAATCGGGGAAATTAGGTCGCGGTCAGATGGCCAAACCTAGGGTTCTCGCCATCTCCAGTACGTTTATTCTATAATCTATCTCTTCCATTCCATATGATTCTGCTTCAATTCGCCTGCTAATTCCATTTGATTCCTAGGATTTTTATTTGATTGATGATGTTATATTAGAAACACGTTAGAGATGAAGCTCTGATAGTGATTTCCCCCATGGTTATTGTGTTTCCCACATTTTTAGTTCGAGCATGTTTTAACTGAAATCCATTGTTTCTGTTCATCATTTGTTCTGGTTCTGTACTTCTAGGCGTAGTCTTCGCGTCTCTATCAATTCGATTTGGGACGAGTGTTCACCGTGGGAATGTTCATCCTGTGATTCCTAACTAATTCGCCATCATCATATCATCATGAAAAAAAGCAAAACAATTATATGTGCTGGCAAGCACAAAAAATGTAACACTCTGATCTGCATTCTCCCATTTCATTTGTTTCTTTTTTAAATCTACTTTACAGGTCATATTTTCATACTCTGTACTACAGTATTTTTTTAGAAGTTCGAGATGAAATTATTACCCCATTGTCAGACATCAGTGTGTTACTTCACTAGAATTTCATGACTATGTTGTGAAATCCTCATACTAATTTCAATATACCTTGGGAACCTACCTCGTGGTTTATGCAGCAAAACAAAAAACACAGAGGACTAAAGCTTTTCTACGTGTGTTAAAGTATTCCAGTGGAGGAGTACTTGAAGTAAGTACTATCATCAAGCTCCCAAGCTAGACCCGCATATTTTGCATACACTTCGTGAGATAAACTTCAGTATTTTCTATTACTGAGGATTTACAAAAAGGAAAAATATGAAGAAAGTATTGCATTTTAATCCATCAATAGCGCCGGACGAATATATAATTTATAATACATGCATACGTACGATCCATCTCCATCTTTCTGAAAATAATCCTAAGCTAAGATTTAGTGGAACCACTTTTCACTTTCAGGCTGCAAATATATATAAGCTAAAGCATCTTTCAAAGGTGGAGCTTGTAACTAATGATCCAAGTGGCTGTACATTTACACTGGTAGTTCTCACTTTGCAACCTGCTATTTCATATATGATGCTGAGAATATTGTCTTGAAAAAAGATTTAAGTGCCAATCTTATTTCTACAGGGGTTTGATAATCTTAGGAATGCTACTGTGGCACCCCCTCAGTGGACGATGCGCAATGTGGATGACAGGTGTTTCAAACTTCTAATCTTCTTGATTTTATTAGTTCTTTTGCTTAATCGATTATTGCACTTGCTGTGTTTAGGAATCGGCTTTTGCTTTGCATCCTAAACATTTGCAAGGATGTACTGGGTCATCTTCCCAAGGTTATTGGCATAGATGTTGTGGAGATGGCACTTTGGGCAAAGGTACATGCAGAATATTTACTTGAATCATGTTGCTTCTTCTTAAATACGGAGTAGTTACAATAACAGCATAAACATGTCTTCTCTATTTTTAAATAAAAAGTCTATTTTTCCTAATGCCGGAAGAGATTATATTAAGTGATGAACTCGTCATATCAAAGAGACAGAAACAAGAATACGATCTAAATAAATTGACCTCAGGATCATCCTTACTTCTCTGCTTCATATCAATTTTACTTGTAAGACAAAATCTATTACCGAATACTAAATTGGGACAAGACCAACCTCGTAATAATCCTTGTGTCCCTTTTTATCATACTAAGTTGGTGATTGAAGTCCGCAATGCGTAGATCCATCTGGATTACAATTTTCATTCGTATTCTAAACATATGTAGAGCTAATGCAGGAAAACACACCTGTGGTTAACAAGAAACAAGGTGGCAATCTTCAAGATGGGCCAGTGATCGTTGTGGAGGAAGAAGCAGATACGAAAGTGACTGTTGAAAAGGAACTTGTGTCTCAAGTAGAAGAGGAGGACATGGAGGCTCTTTTAGGAACGTAAGTAACTTTTTTTCTTTTTTTCCTGAATATGACATATGTGCAAGTTGTGCATACGGATATATAAACAGCACATAGCCTTCTATAGGGAGTGTTTAAAAAAATTAAATTTCTGCTTTTCTTTTTGTGAGATAAATAATTGTTTATTTAAGTAAAGATAATAGTGGGTAGTGTTTTAGGTTTAAGTATAATTTTTTGCTTTGATGCTTTAAACCGCCTAAGTGCTTATTTTATGAAGATTCTCTAGCAACTCTACTGTACTGTTTCGTCAATTCCTTTGCTTTAGCATTTTACGTATTAAAATTGGATTCCATCCCATACTGACACATCTAACTGGGTGTTTTCCCATTTTATCTCATCAGCTTAATGTGTTTCTGATCATGATTAGAGTGGCATGATGTGCAGTTATGTCATGGGCATTGGTGAAGCTGGGGCTTTTTCTGAAAGGTTAAAGAGAGAGCTTCAAGCTTTAGAAGCAGCAAACGTGCATGCCATATTGGAAAATGAGCCTTTAGTGGATCGGGTACCTCCCATTTTGTCTTGAAGAGTGTTGTGGGTTTTATTCCCGTACTTTTTTCTAAAAGAGCAATGTGAGCTTCCCTTTAGTAGATTGGGTACCGTCCATTGCCATTTGTTTTCCAATGGAGCTAAAAGATTGAATACTGAAAATGTATCAACTTTGGCACATAATGGACAAAATCAAAATGGCCCATTAAACTTCTCTTGCTTCTTCCTTTCTTGAAGTTTTGGGCAGTAAATATGCAGCACTGCATTTAGGGTCTAACAGAAACAGCCTTTCTGTTTTTGAAGGGGTAAGATCACGTACATCTTACCCTCTAGACCCCAATGGAGATGGGATTATGCTAGGCTATTGTTGTATTCTTTTTTCTATATGATTTTTTATTCTGCTATAAAAATGCCTTCTATTACATTTTGCTTGACATTTATATGCCAAGTTTGAAGAACCTCTACTACCATCTACAAATCTTTATTTGACTTGGCCGTCAAGGCATCAAGGCTTATATGCTAGTCATGCTACCAGAGTGGAATTTTGTACATACATCTTAGTTTTTAACGAAGAAGTATATGAAATCTCTCTAGGAAGTGTGTTTTTGTACTTTCTGTGTCCTTACTGGTAACACCTACGTGTTCCCTGACCATATCAAGTTATGTGATCTACTGTAGCTAAGAGCTTCAATTCTATGGATGAGATATTTTCTTAAAGAACTGATACTCCATAATATTCAAGAGTAAACTCCAACCTCAAATTAGCCTCTGTTTTGGCTAACTATTTGATTCTTGTCCTGTAGGTACTGCAAGGGCTTGAGTCAGCCTCTAATTGTGTTGAAGACATGGATGAATGGTTGGCAATCTTTAATGTTAAACTCAGACACATGAGAGAAGATATCGAATCAGTGAGGATCCTCTGCATTGAGTTTTGTAAATGTTCACACCTGCCAGTCACCATTTCCTGATTTTTTTATGCCCATAGCTTCAATTGACCATTTCTTTGGTTCTATTGAGTTAATGATCCTAGTTGGTAGTTGAATAGTAAATTTACATGATACCGTCGCATGAACTCACGAGATCAGAGATGGGTTTTATTACAGTTCTATTTCTATATTCCATTCAAAGCTCCAGAACATTAACAAAACTATTTTGAATCTGAATGTAGCTAATAGAATCCATGCAAATATGATTCTACTTTCAAGCTGAAACAATGCTTGATTATTTTTATTTGCTTTTAAATCATTTTTAGTTGCAAACTTGCCATGTGGGGAAATTATTCAAGTTTCAGCAGATGCGTTGCATTAATACAAAATAACTGATGTGAAACCCAAATTTTGTATGACCAACTCTTGACTAGGACTATATATCCTCCCATCATTTGCAGATAGAAGCTCGGAACAACAAGTTGGAAATGCAGTCAGTGAACAATAAAAAATTAATTGAAGAACTTGATAAACTTGTTGATAGGTTTTGTATCCCACCAGAGGTGTTTCTCATTCTTCCTTTCTATTGAAGTTAATCTTAACTAATCATATTGGTCTAATATTTTGATTATGTTTTCACTTAATACTTACCCTTCTGGCTGTAGTATTCAGCATGTCTTACAGGTGATTCTTTTGATGAGGCATGCATGCATCAAAATATTGATGCTTGTGAGTGGCTAACTAATGCTATATGTGGCCTTGAAGCACCAAATTTGGATTCTACTTTTGCAAATATGCGAGCTGTATGCTCCTAGTTTCTTATTCTTCCAACTTCTTTTAATATACCTCTTCTCAGCCATTGTCACGAGCCTTTATTTTCTCACTTTACAGGTTGTTTTTTCTGTTTCCTTTACAGTGATGCAATCACTTATGTTTAATTCTTTTGAGCCTTTTACAGGTAAAAGAGAAACGGGCAGAACTTCGGATATTGAAAATGAATTTTGCTAGGAGAGCTTCTGATTTCTTGAGAAACTACTTCTCTAGTTTGGTAGATTTCATGATAAACGACAAGAACTATTTTTCTCAAGTAAGTCTCTTAAAACACTGTTTCGAAGTGCAAGATCGTTGGGTACTACTTTCAAGTACTGAAACTAGTGAAAACAGCTCGTTTGAATTTTTTAGCGTGGGCAATTGAAGAGGCCAGACCATGCTGATCTAAGGTACAAGTGCCGCACTTATGCTCGACTTTTGCAACACTTGAAGGTTAGATGGAATATTATGCTCCCTGCTTCCTCTGTGCCAATTTAATTCGCTTAGTTGATGTTTTGTGGTCTTCAACACAACGTTTTGACTATATTTATACATAAATAAATGATAAAAAATAATATTTCAAAACTACATTTCAAAATGAATCTAATGAGATTTAATTTATCAACAAAATGGTCAAAGTTTGTAACTTTTGGCCAAGCAAAATAAATTGGGATGAAGGGAGTAAATTTAAAGGGAGTGGAAAAACAAATTTTAAAATTGTTTTTGAAGATTTGTTTATGTTTTCTCTTCAAATGCAGATTCTTGACAATAGTAGTTTGGGATCACTAAGAAAAGCTTATTGTGCATCCCTTAATTTACTTTTGCGCCGAGAGGTTAGAAAGCTCATGAACTTGTTACTCTAAAATCATATGTTTCTAACTTTTCATTATGTGTATATATTGTTGAGTGTAAACATGTGAACTGCTTCAAATATTTTATATCTCAAGCCTATCTCTTTTTTTTCTGTTTCCATTGCACCATTATTAATAATTGGTTTTCTAGTATTGTGCTCTGAGACTCAGGTCACAGTTTTAAGTGATTTAGGGATGTTCTTGGCATTCTGATGTATACTTGTCTGTTACGGTCGTCTGGAGTTATATAGGATGACTCTTGTTTGTATAACAAAAAAAAAATGACAGAGTATTGTACTGGAGTATAACTTTTAAAAAAGTTATGATTTTGAATGGGAGTGTCATCTTATCTAAATTTTTTGACTTTCATTTGGGGGATGTCATCTGGGAGGGGGGGGGGGAGTGTTAGGAGATTAATCTTCGCATTCCTTACTTTATAAACAAATAAAAGAGAAAAAGAGTGTTCTCCCTTCCTTTGTCCAATTCCTCTCAATCCTAGCGTTCACTTATGGAGTCTATGCTGGTGCTACAAATGGCTTACTGATTCTTGCAGGCTCATGAGTTTTCAAGTGAACTTCGTGCCAATACAAAGGCACCAAAAGCTGCAATTATATGGCTGGATGGTTCTGCAGTTTCCAACCAAAGTCTGAATAATGTAGACACTTCTGCAGTTTCAGAAGCATACTCTAAAATGCTTACAATATTTGTGCCGCTAATGGTGGATGAGGTTATCCTTTTGACTATCTTGCTTAATATAGATGTTTTACCAATTGGTGTAAATTTGTTAGTGTGGATCTTATTTAGATTGGAGGCATCAAGTTATGCTTTCTCTATTTATATAACTACAGAGCTCTTTCTTTTTTGTGTGGATCTTATATAGACCTTAATCTATTTCTATAACTACAGAGTTCTTTCTTTGCACATTTTATGTGCTTTGAAGTTCCTGCACTTGTTCCAGCAGGAGGTTCTTCCAATGCTGAGGATGATCTCAATTGTGATGATTCAGGAATTAGGGGCATTGGTGATAATAATAAAAACAGAGCAGGTACTGTAACTTTTTTTTATATTTCATTTTCTAAATGCAGCTTGTGTAGTAGTAGTGAGCAAAAAAATTGGGGCATCCTACGTTTAATACAGGGATTCATTGAAGAATACGCTTATGGCATCAAATTGTAATTCAGTGCGTCCTGTAAAGAATCTTTAGAATCATCTTTCTCATTTGGGTTCTTCACCTGCTTAGTTAATACTTTGAGCAGTTCAATCCAAAGTGATGCACACCATTTATTGTAATGTTGCAGGTAGAAATTCTGCAGATCTAGAGGAACTAAATGAATCCCTACGGGATTTGCTTGATGGAATACAAGTGATATTCATCCCATTCCTTTGAATGCAGTTTTAGAATTTACCTTAGTGGTAAACATCACTACTGTGTCATATCCAAATGAAAACTGGGTTTCTATTTCTCTTTATGTGCTTCAGGAACACTTTTATGCGGTGGTAGACTGGGCATACAAGATTGATCCTTTGCGGTGCATATCAATGCATGGGATCACAGAGCGCTTTATTCCCGGTCAGAAAGCTGATACAGCAGGATTTGTTCGCATCTTGCTTGATGACCTTGAATCTAGAATATCAGTGCTGTTTAGCCGTGTAAGCTACTGCATAATTTCTTATCAACCTGTATAACGTTGCAGGTTATGGTACTGAATCATTTTTCTAAACTTGGATCACAGTTTGTCGAAGAAGCTTGTCATCAAATTGAAAGAAATGAGCGAAATGTTCGGCAGGCAGGCGTCTTGTTATACATTACAAGGTAAAACAATAGCCCATTTGTTTATGTATTTTTTGTTTTAGTTTTCAATGATCACTCACACACACACACATCCTGATTAACACAAGTAGATGTCGTAGATGAGCCTCAACAGAATTTTTATCACATCTGAAGTAAATATTCATTATGTTTGAGTGCTTTTAAATACAGAGTACTTAAAAAATTATGGAGTACTATGCAATGCAATGTTTATTGAGTTTTAAACAGTTTGTCTGCACTATAAATTTCATTGAAACTCACATTTCCACTAAAATGCTCGTAAAATGTGAAACAACATACATAGAATTATAGAATATCTGTTGTGTACTACGGAGTATAAGCTTGTCAGTGAAATCTTCCCATATATCCAAAAAAGGTTCTTGTTTTCGTTTCTTGTACATCCCAAAATAATGTTGCCATTTACTTTTAAGGAATAATTGGAGAGGTTTATATCATTTCTCTCTCCTCTGCACAATCTCCACACAATTTCAGATTTTTAATAAGTGTGGAGGGTCAAACCAAAACTTTATTTTGTAACGGCTAGTGTAACCAATAGATTCTCCTATGATATATTTATCCTCTCCAACTATCAATGAATCTCAAGCACTGTATGTTTTCATGTAGATTTGCTGCTCTTGCAAATCGTATGGAGCAATACATCCAAGGACAATCAAGGGACTTAGTTGATCAAGCTTATACAAAACTCGTAAGCCACAACTTTGTTCCTCAAGGGCAAAAACTCGTAATACATCCAAGGACAATCAAGGGACTTAGTTCCTCAATTTTGTTTATGTAGCAACGAGTGCCACAACTTGTGTTTTAGTTATAATCATTGCATTTAGTGTTTAGGATGATGGCACACTTCACTAATAATATCTTAACAGTCTTCCGCCTTATTGTTGTTGATGAACGGGCTAACAAGCCACCCTTCATTTTGGAAGCAGTTTAGCATACCATTATTCTATTTGGACTGGTTTTAATTCATTGGCTGTTGATGTTCTAGTGATTTTTTTGTTTTTTTGTTTTGCATGTTTTATGATTAAAGATTTCCCAATTTTTCCGGCAGGTAACTATGATGTTTGTGACTTTGGAAAGAATTGCTCAAGTTGAACCAAAATATGAAGATATCACACTTTTAGAAAACTATGCTGCATTTCAGAACAGGTAGTATTCAATAAATTCATGAGATTTTTCCCCTGTTTTGACAGTAAGATTTTGTTACCATAAACTGATGGGATACACTTTTAATGCAGTCTGTATGACCTGGCAAATGTCGTGCCCACATTAGCGAAATTTTATCATCAAGCTAGTGAAGCTTATGAACAAGCTTGCACGCGTCATATTAGCATGATCATCTATACCGTACGTGATCCAAATTTGAGGATGATACTGTGTACTATTTTCTCTTATTGCTAGTGAAATTCCTTTTTTTGTGTCTGTTTCGTGGCCATTTTTAGGCTCATTAACCTTACCACTGCTTTTTTTCACCAAGCAAACCAGTCATTTCTGACAATTTCAACACATTCAACCATCATATGCTATAGATCCTTGTTTTTTTCCTTTCTAAAATAGCATGTCATCTCTTTCTCTGCAGCACTTTGAGAGACTCTTTGATTTCGCTCGAAGGATTGAGGAGTTAATGTGCACACTAGCACCAGAAGAGGTCATTTCTGTGAATTAGAATAAATATCCATTTACTAGCTTCTCCACTAGTAAATCAATAAAATCCTCTATGGCCATGTATTTAGTTATCAATGACAAACCCAGTAAAATCCTACAAAAAGTAGGGTGTGGAGAGGCTATTTCCAAGAAACCTCAGACTCAAACACACAAACACCATTAGAGTAAACACATACCGAAGCTAGCAACTAGACCCAAAATACAGAAAACACACCCATTTGCAGAGAGATTCAGTCATCATCTGTAATAATAAAATGCAGCCCAATCATATATAGTTTAGAAACAGAATATACTTGTTGGCTATGATGATTACTATAAGCAAGAGTGCACACTATCTTTCAGATCCCATTCCAAATTGGATTTTCGAAGACAGAGCTCAGGAAGGTGGTGAAAGCAAGTTTATCAGGGGTATAAGTCAATTACTAAAAACGCTTTAAGATCAAAATTGTGGAGGTTGGTAATGATTTTTTTTTTTTTTGCAGGTTGATAAGACCATTGGCGCTATGCATAAGAAATTGCAGAAGAACTTAACATCAGAAGAGTTGTTACCTTCCTTGTGGGAAAAATGCAAGGTACATTTACTCAATCAACAGACTTGTGGCTTTTAAAAATCTTTTCTTAAAAGAAATAAAGAAAGAAAATGTCCATCATTTTAAAAGTTCATTTCTCAATATCCGTGTAAAAACAATTTAGGAGTTGTTAATCCCTCACTTATATTTAACAATGCACTTTTAAAAAAGGAATTTACTGTATTAGATTAGTCAAAGTTTTCTGATTTACTGTGTATTTATATACTCCCTATTTATTTTGCATACGATTGTTTCTTACACAAAATGGGTTGGCAGAAGGACTTTTTGGACAAGTACGAGAGCTTTTATCAGCTTGTATCTAGGGTTTACCCGTCAGAGACAATTCCATCTGTCACAGAAATTGAGCATTTCTGCAAATAGACTCTGTTGCTATTTGTTTATTTATTCATTTATTGCATATCATTATTACGGAATACTTATAAAGGAAAAAATGGTCCACTATACCTTCATTACGGACTAAAATCATGTTGCTAAGTAGTTGTATTTGAACTTTGAAGGAAATGAAAATAATACCCCATGAATTATAAGTTTACTTTGTTGGTCTAGTTTGCAATATGGTAATGTCATACTGTATATAGATATTTTATACTCCGTAATATTTGGTGGTGATATATATAGTCATTATTAAAATTGTATATGTGTTTTATCTCTTATTCAAGGAATAAAATATGAAATTCATATTTTGGTATATTTTCTATATTTTACTTTTACTTTAGTCTTTACCCCAAAATAGAAATGTCATGTTTTTATCTTCAAATTAATATTGTTGCATTGTGATAATGTCTCACTTTATTGACATTCTATAATACATTTTGGTATTATATATTAGCTTTATTGACATTAGATCATATTTTTTTATATAAAAACATTGTTTTGTTTTGAATTATATACTATTATAATTCTATTATGCTGTAGTCAAATTTCACTCCTTTTTTGTTTTGAATTATATACTATTAATGAAAATTAAATTAAATGAAATTAAGATTTTGTTTAAAAAGGTTTCATTGTATTTTTCTGCATAACTGTATTTCTAATGTAAAGTACGAGCCTTTAAAAAAATGTAAAATACGAGAGTAAGTTTGACGTATTACTTGCAAAAAGTTGTTGCTGGATACTTTCAGTTTTGTGATAAGAATGTACAGATTTTATTATTTTTCAAAATATACTCTAATGTACTTTAAAATATCTGAAGAGTTACTCTAAAGTTTCGTATACTATATTATCTAAAGTATATTTATGTCAAACAGAATTTTGTCCAAAGGCCTTTTTTGGATACTCGAAAAAGTGAACTCCGCCCTTGTTCAAAGGACCGTAATTGAGGTTAAATTTCTCACGTGTTTATTAACATCACATATTCACATTATATTCCTCACATGCAAATTGTTTCCCGGGACTATTTGTCAAATCTAATAGGACCATGCTACACTTACACCAACAAATATATTTCATTTGTACACCATATGTTTGCACAAACATTTCGATGGTTTACACTGACACAAGTGTTGGTGCGTTAATAAAAATTCACACGGACACAAATGTTGGTGCGTTTAATAAAAATTAGTTTTACACCAACACAAAATGTTGGTGCAAAACTGCGGGGTACAAATTGGGGTACAAATCTTGGGGTACACATAGCATAATCCAATCTAATATTTTCCTATTTTCTAAAGAATATTTATATGGAACAAGTTGCGGTGCTATTTTGTCAAATCTAAAATCATAATTCCAAATTACTTGGGTAAAAACACTCTTTTAGTTTTAATAAACAATTCTTTCTCTCTTCTTTTTTGACTTTCAATTTAATTTTTTGTACCCTATACTGGCAAATTATATCCAAAATTATAGAATAAAGTACCCTAAATAAGAGTAAAATATAAAGAAAGTACCAAAATAGAAATTTCATTTTTTATCCTCGAAATAAGAGTTTGCATTATGATAATGTGACACTTTATGTGGACAATTCACAATATTTTTTGGTAATGTTTATGATTGACATTGTATCTGCTTTTTAACTCTTATTTTGAAAATAAAATATAGAACTCATGTTTTGATATATTTTTTATGTTTTATTCTTCCCCTCCCCATTCTTTTTTTCAACAAAATCTTCAATTCATTTAATGTATTTTCATTAATATTTAAAAATTTACATAATTCAAAACAGAATATTCAAGGAGTGAAATTTGGCTAAAATATAGCCACGAGAAAAAAATAGGACACTTATGTTTTTATATAAAATAATATGACCTATAATGTCAATAAAGCTGATATATAATCCTAAAATATATTATAGAATGTCAATATAGTGACATATTATGACGATGCTTATTTACTACTTATTTATTAATTTAGTTTTAAATTGATTTATTTATTTATAAATTTTTTATTTATATATTTATTTATTTATCAATTTTTATTTAATAATGCAATAAATAATTATTTTTTTATTTATTCATGAAAATTACATACAATAACAAATAATATATTAAAATTTATTTTCCAATAGCCAAAGTGAAATGCTACTCTATGTAGTTTTGTAAAGTTTGGCTTTTCAGACTCAAACAGCCAACCTTTGCACCTAACTACCAAACACCATTTTTGACTAATAAACCAGTCAAATCCGTTGGAATTGGTAAAAACAGCCAAAAGTCATCTTAAATACCAAAAACCAAACATGCTCAATATAGAACTAACAAGGTCACCTTGTTCTTTTGCGTGAGTCTCGTCCTCTAACCAATAGAATTGTGTATATACATACTAGGATAATTTAGACTTAAGTATAAAAACAAGGTTTTAATAATGGAATGAACCCACTATATTCAACATGTATATGGATTATTGAATTATTCGAATAACGAAAAGAATAGTTTGTTTGTTTGTTTAACCTTTGAATACTTTGGGGGGAGAAAGACCAAAGTAATACTAAAACATTGAAAATATACCAAAATAGGATTTCCATGTTTTTATTATCGAAATAGGACTTACATTACCATACATGGTCATATACATTACCAAAAAAGTATAGTAATTTGCACATGTACACTGCCACATTACAACATGGCAAAGTCACATTACCACAGTGCAAAGTTCTATTTCGAGAAAAAAAAACATAGAAGTCCTATTTTGATACTTTTCTCTATATTTTAGTCCTATGTAAGGTGATTTCTATACTTTGGGATGTTGGAATTTTCGTTTGGCATTTTGGGACTTGGGTGGTACTGGTACAGGCCGTTTTCACCGCCAAACTCTCCACGCCGACTTTGACTCACTTTTCAACACTCCTTCTCTTTGACATTTTGATTAAAAAAAGATGAGTTTGGTTTCTTGAGGCCCGATCGGTCACTGAGAAGAGAAAAATTGGATTTTGATTATAAATTTGTGGCAAAGAGTGCAGCACAAGGATGAAGAATTTGAATTTTTAGTTGGCTCGGTTTTAATCTCGTATACTTCATCCGTCTCAAAAAGATTATTACATTTTAACTTTTTTAGTCAAACTATATAACACTTTGATCACAAATTATTAAAAGTTTATATTTAGTTATAATGTAAATTTAATTAAATTAGATTTATTTTAAAATATAGTTTTGAAATATCAAATTTTTGAAATATTTAATCATTCACAACTGTTCTTTTGACATTGGAAATCAAGGTCATATTATAATCCACGGCATATAAGGTGCTTCGTTGGTAAAATTGATTATTTCTAAACCACATACCACCCCTACACCCCCGATCCCCCCTAGATCACGGGTTTGGAGAGTCGAATTTTGGGATTGATGATTGATTTTGTTCCATAAATATGAAGTACTTTTTAAATAGGTATAGACGTTTTAAATCCCTTCGTCCAGAATATTTGTTTTGTTTGATTTTTTTTAATCAAATTGGACAAATTTTAATCATCCAAATTTTTTAATTTAAATTACATATTGGTATTATGAAATTAGAAGTTGAAAATTCATCATAAGATAAATCTAATAAAATCATTTTAATACTAATAGTATTCGCTAGTCATTTGGATTGTCAACTATTGGGTTCAAGTAAATTAGGTTTTGTGTTACGTTGCAAGTGTATATTCATCACTCAGTGTTCTAGGGTTTAAATCAAATATTTAATAAAGGAAAATTCACCTAAATAAGCTTAAAATATTATAACTTTCTCAATATAGGACAATATGTTTTTATTTCCTAATGTAGGATCATTGGTCATTATCCATTAGTCATAATTCAAGTAAATGTCCACCACCACTGGACATTATTCCTCGCACTAGACATTATTAAGTACTATTTAAAGAATAAAAAAGTTTATTTTCTACATGAAAAAATGACTTATGTTTTAGTCTTATTTAATGCAAATTTCATTTGAAAATATTATTGGTAAATGGTTAAAATTAGAAAAATATTCCATGACGGAAATATATATTATATTTTCCAAAAATCATATACGGAGTATTATATTTTACGAGGATTACAAACATATTCAACCCAAAAACTAAATAATGAGTGTAGTTTATTGTAATCTCAACAAAGCCACTTAAAATTGTTGTGAAGATATTTACAAAAAGAAAAATTGTTATGAAGATAATGAAAGTAAAACAATTTTCCAATGACATGATGTGTTTGGACAAGGAAGATAAACAAAACAAAAAACTTTACATAATTTAAGACACAATTACTACCCGATGGGATAGAGGGTGAATGATCATTAACAAGAAATTGAAATTGTGGTTGATACCAACTCAATGGTCATGTAAAAGAACATTAAAACTTTGCAATATATAATGCACAAAAACATAATTGGAGTACACAATTACACAAATATCAAAACCTAATAGTTCATTGAACAAAAAAATAAATATTGATGTGATTGGTCTTACTTTAATTCTATTATTTGTGACGGTAAGAAGCTCTAGTAAATTTATCATTCAGTTTTATTTTTTGTTCTACTAATGAGGCAAGACACTTGTTACTAGTTGTTAGGGTCACCTTTTCATTTTTCTCGTAGCATTGTGGAATGAGTTGGCACACCCCCAACTTCATTTCTACATCAATTTAAAATCTTGATTGCTTCAAAAAAATTCATTCTCAATGTGGTTTTTCATATTTGAAAAATTGCTCAATGTTTGATTCATTTGTAACACGATCAATAGCTAGTCCTTTTTATTTTATGAACAGATACTATATTCTAATCAAATCAATATCTCTAAAAAGTTGATGTCAATTTGGAAGTGCGTCATCGTTGATTGTTAGATTAGAGCACTGGAGTTGTGTTGTTGTGCGTGAGTGCATTAAATAATGTAATACTACATTCGTCCCAAAAAGATTCACACCTTACGTAAAATAAAGTAAATTTACAAATTTTTTCAATTCATTTCATTTAAAAATTAGTTTATAAATAAAAAATAAAATTTACATATTTAAAAAGTACATTAAAAACTCTACGAAACAACATGTGACAAGAAAATATTTTATTTCATCAAATAGTCAATGAAAACAAACAAATAAACAAAAATTTTAGTAACTTTTGATTAGTAAAGTGTGTAAATCATTTAGTAACGAAGGAGTATGATCTTTTATACAATTAATAAATTTTACAAGAATTTTTGCGAGAGTTGTTTATAATGCTAAAGATATAATCCGTATATATTTAATATTGTGTAATACTTCTTCCGCCTGAAAACGATTTTTTCAAATGACAATTTTGATTGTTTGATAATTATCTTCTCATCATTACTTCTTTTAACATGTTAAATACAAAGTACCATAATTATCCTCGTTCTCCCTTTCACTTACAAATCATCTACTTCATTTAATACATATCACCCACCATCATTAACGGTCAAATGAACATTTGTCATATTTTTTCAACTCTTCTTAAAATGTGTAGAAAGTTAATTGGGAAAGACTGTCACACACAAAGAATAAATTTGCGTGAATAATCGTATATTAAAACTTTGCAATATATAATGCACAAAAACGTTAATGATTTGTGTCTTAAATTTTATTAGAGTTAAATAAATTTTAAGAAAAAAGTTAATAATTGTATAAATATTACAATCCAAATGAAATATTTCTTCAGTCTTACAATTGATTACAACATGTACTTATCTAAAATCACAGTTATTTTTGTTTATCGTACATTTTCATTGTTAATTTTATAAAGTAAAATATTTTTCATCATATCTTATTTCATAGAATTTTTATTTTAATTTTTTTATTATTTTATACCAATCTTAAAATAAAAACTAAAAAAGAATTTTGAAAGTTTTCTTGATTTTGAATTTTGAAGTGAAAAAGGAATGTGTTGGAATTGCCTGATTTGATATGAGAGCATTGGACATTCCAAAATGTGAAAGCCCCACGCGGTATTCAAATTTCATTTCGCAAGTACACAGTCCACTCAATTGTTCGGTTGGTACACGTTTTTTAATTTTTATTATAGTCGACTGACTGACCCTTCGTCCTCTTTATATTTAGGACTCCTCTGTTCCCGTCACCATAGAATATATCGACGACCGCCATTAAATACTCCTCTGTTTCTTCCACACCATTTGTTTCTTCATTCATTAATTTCTCTCAGAAATCACAATCCCAGACAGATATGGTGGCCTCCTCACTCCCATTCCACGCTCTCCCTCTTCAGAAGTCCTCTTTCTCTTCCTCCAAACGCCGTTTCAATCCCCAAATCGTTTGCGTCTCTGTTTCCGACATCCCGCCGGCGGTTTCTGCCCCGCCGCCCCAGCAGCTGCAGCTGCCTCCCTCTCCCAAGCTCCCGCTTCGGAAAATCCCAGGAGGTTATGGGCTCCCTCTCGTCGGCCCGTTGAAGGACAGGCTGGACTACTTCTATAACCAGGGCCGGGAGGAGTTTTTCCGGCAGAGGATTCAGAAGTACCAGTCCACGGTCTTCCGGGTCAACATGCCGCCCGGCCCGTTCATCTCCGATGACCCGAAAGTTGTCTGCTTGCTTGACGGCAAGAGCTTTCCCACGCTCTTTGACGTCTCTGTCGTCGAGAAGAGGGACGTCTTCACCGGAACTTACATGCCGTCGACTGAACTCACCGGCGGGTACCGGATTTTGTCATACATTGACCCGTCGGAACCCAACCATGCCAAATTGAAGAACCTCATGTTCTTTCTCCTCTCCCACCGCCGAGACAAACTCATGCCGGAGTTCCACGACTGTTACTCCGAGATGTTTGACGCTCTCGAGAAAGAAGTGGCCCAAAAGGGGAAAGTCGGATTGAACGCCGCTAATGATCAGGCGGCTTTCAATTTCTTGGCTAGGGCACTCTACGGCGCCGATCCGGCGGCGACGAAGCTCGGACTGGAGGCGCCGAAGCAAATCGGAAAATGGGTTCTGTTCAATCTCCACCCCGTCCTCAGCCTCGGACTCCCGAAGCAGATTGAAGATCCCCTGATCCACACTTTCCGGCTTCCGCCGGCTCTAGTCAAGAAAGACTACCAGCGGCTCTACGAATTCTTCTACGAGAACTCCGCCGCCGTCCTAGACCACGGCGAGAAGCTCGGCGTCTCCCGGGAGGAGGCCTGCCACAACCTCGTCTTCGCCACGTGCTTCAACTCCTTCGGCGGGATGAAGATCTTCTTCCCCAACATGATCAAGTGGATCGGACGCGCCGGCGTGAAGCTCCACGCGCAACTCGCCAAAGAGATACGCTCCGTCGTCAAATCGACCGGAGGAAAAGTGACGATGGCGGGGATGGAGCGGATGGAGCTGATGAAATCCGTCGTCTACGAGTGCTTCCGGATCGAGCCGCCGGTTCCGACCCAATACGGGCGAGCCAAACGCGACATAGTGATCGAATCCCACGACGCCCGGTTCGAGGTGAAAGCCGGCGAGATGCTATTCGGGTTCCAGCCGTTCGCGACCAAAGACCCGAAGATATTCGACCGGGCCCAGGAGTTTGTGCCGGACCGATTTGTGGGCGAGCGGGGGAAGGAGCTGCTGAAGCACGTGCTGTGGTCAAACGGCCGGGAGACGGAGAGTCCGACGGTCAACGACAAGCAGTGCGCCGGAAAGGATTTCGTGATGCTGGTGTCGCGGCTGATGGTGGTGGAGCTCTTCCTCCGTTACGACTCCTTCGACATTGAAGCCGCCATGTCGCCGCTAGGGGCGGCTGTCACCTTGACTTCGTTAAAAAGGGCCAGCTTTTGATTTCTCCATTTTTTTTCGTTGTCACAAAAAGTTCTTTCTCGTCTTATTTTTATTATTATTAATATTATGTCTCTCTTTCAAATTGTTTTTTATTTATATAGGAAGTATTAATGTTGTCACTATATCTCAGTCTCATTTCAAGCCTAATGTCTGATTAATGTTATCTGCTAAAATATGATTAAATGGCATAATTTTTGTATTTTAATTTATTACATATTTTATATATAATTGGTAAAACCTTGGCACGCAAAGTGAGCTGGATAGTTTAAAAAATAGAGGAAATACTCCAAATACATTAGGATCATTTTTGGCGACCAAATAAATGGTGGTTTTGTTTGGTATTATTATTAGTACTACGTATTTTGAATGAAATTTTTAGTGTAGATTAATTTTAAAAATGTTATTGTTAAAAGTCATTGTTAAATTATTTTTTTCATCACACTTACATGTCAAAAGACATTTTGCTTAAAGAATTATAGGGAGCTAAGTATAGGTCTGGCCAAAATTAGCAAGATTGCATATTTTGTAACTTTAAGATTTGCGAAGCTCGATAATTTTTTTTGTTTATTTTATCATGATTTCAATAGAATATTATGAAATAATATTCTATTGTGAAATGTAGAATCAATTCTTAAATTTCTATAAATGAAATAATATACTCGTTGGTTTTGAAAAATAATGACTTAAGGTTGAGAAAATAAGCTATAGTAATCATCAGTAAAAAAATCAACAATTAATTTGCAAAATGAACAAAAAATGGTGTTTTGACTACTAGTATTTTATTTTTATTATGTAGAGAGTAATTTTAATGATACAATAGTGAAATATACTTTGCGTGTTTGGTGTAAAACGAGAAAAAAAATCTAGAGTTTTGATCTTAAATACGGAGTAATGCTATTCCAAAATTTGTGTTAGCTTAAACCTTTATAATCACCACTTTGATCATTATTTTATCTATTCAAATGTACAAAACATTCAATAAGTTTCAACTGATCAAAATAATGATACCTTAAAACAATTGGGTTATACAAAGTTGGGAGGCCCTGTCAACTGCACATATGTTTTTTGGTTCAACAAAACATCAGAACCAAACTTTGTTCCCCTAAGATCATACTTCAAAAAATAGAGTTCAAAGCAGCCATTTCAAAGTGGCACCCAAAAAAAGTTATTTGTACAACATTTTTGACACATTGTACTGGCATATATCACATACGTACATCCAGCATTGTTCCGTGTCTGTTAATATCTGCAAAAAGGGTACTGTCAGATATAGGGCACCCCATCTAGGGTGAAGCCATCGGCTCGGGATGATGCTTCTTCAGCCGACCGCCTTTCTCCTTCAACGATGGGGCCCACGCGATGGCCTTCCTGTGCGCCACGTCATCAACTACGCGGAAAATGCGGACGTCAAAGATGCACAATTTGTTGCTTCGGCTAACCATGTCAAACACGCACACATCATCCATTTCAAGATGGTTTTGGAGGGCAAAATATTTCCAACCCGATCTTGAGATCCCATGCCCGCCCATTGTTCTTCGGTAGTAACACTTTGCCATCCATGCTTTATCCTTCACGCGCAGGCACGCCTCAAAGTTTGCCTGAGGAAGATGCTTCCTCGACCAATCCACCGGGATTGTCTGCACAATCATATCACACTCAAATGATGATGATGATGATGGTGGTGGTGATTTCAAAGAAATATTTGCACTAAATAACACTAAAACTTAAGTCATTTCTCTAAATAGCACTTAAATTATTTTATTTTCTAAATAGCACTTCATAATGTCCATAATGTCCAATGACCAATATTTACTTGAATAATGACTAATGAAAAATGGCTAAAAATGCTAGACTGGGAAAAAACACATATGATGCTATTTAGGAAAAGTCATTATGTTTTAGTGTTATTTACGTAAATTCTCCAAGTTCAAAACCCCATTTTTGAGAGCTTGCACAACTCATGTCTGTCGCGCGGAGACACTAGTTGTCTGTGTCACATACCAACAACAAATAGAACGGTTTGTGAGTTTCGGACACATAAAAGACTAGTGTAGCAAAACGGCGTACCAAATAGAAGCCCGTGTAGACATGGCATTCCCTCATGATCACAGTGAGGCTATTGTCGAAAGATGCAACGGTTGCCGCCTGGATAACTTTGTCTTTCTCCTCTTCCGTCACCGGCCTCCTCTTTGAATCCAATCTAAGAGACAAACCCACACGTGATGACGATGGACCACTGCTATCTACAAAGTTGATTGTATTAAAGAAAACCATTATGAATTAGCAATCAAAAGGATTTATTTCTGTTGGTAGCGTGACAGTGTGCAATGTGAGAGTGGCAAAAAGAGTGCCAATCTTTTAGATGGAAAGAAGTTTACAATAGATCCATCATAAATGCCTTAAATTTCATACATGAAAAAAGGAGAAAATTTATAAACTTTATACCCGCGGGTCGGTTCCTTGGCTTCCCACTATATTGATTCATCACCTGCTTAGGCACAACATCCTTCCTTGGCTTTTTCCTCACAACAATCCTTGTGACCTCCTCGTCCGAGGACTCGCTGATTGCTGCACCGAAACGGATGGTTCGAGGAGGGGCAGTTTTGTCTTTTTTATCTGCGACTACAATCTCCGTGTGGGCACATTGTTTGACAAAATACGATGCTTCTTTCTCGCATAAGCTCAGCTGATCAAACACTAACACATCAAACTGCAGATTCCCATGGTACTTGAATACCAAGACATCGTTCTTTTGCAAGGAATGTTCTTGTACGAACGTTTTCCAGCCGTGCTTAAGGTACAGATCATCTCCATCTGCTTCCAACCCCACTTTCCATACGGAACCACTAGGTCCTTTGAGGGAAACTGTGCCTGCTAGTTTGCCTCTAAGGTTCTCAGCAAATTTCTTGGGAAGAGCCTGCAATATTTAGCAGTTCTACTCATTAGCATTATAAGATTTAGGGCCATTCAACAACATATGAATTCTTCCGCCGCACGTGTGCACCAAAGGGTGGAAGAATCAATTAACACGGCTTCTAAAAATGTGTGAATTTTCTAAATTGTGGGAGTGGGTAATAACAAAACATGACCATAAATAATGCAGTATTAAAGAAGCTGAGCTACTGCCAAGAATATATATAGTTCTACAAAGATAGAAGGATTAAGCATATTTGAGCTTTTACTCAATAATTTTATGTTCACCCCATGTTTAGCAATGGCCTTAATTACATAATTAAGACTCACCACTATACTTTCCAAGAGGAAACCTTTTAATTGGCGGCCACATAAAGAACAATAAAAGAGATGCTAACACTATGTTTGGTTCAAGAAATTTGGAAAGAAAAGAAAATAATTTTCTCATTTTCTTTTCCTTAACTTTTCTTTTCTTTTCATCTCTAACCAGAACATTAGTATTCTGGATAAGTTAATATCCTCAAAAACGGATGGTTCCAGCAAAAAGGGCAAAGATCCATCACATCAAGAATTTAAGGAACAAGAAAATGAACTTATTCTAGAAATTTCAAAGTTATAACTACAACTTACAAGCTGATGATCATAATGCGACCCAGAGAGAATCTGAAAGAACTGAACCGTTTGAAAGTGAGACCAGTAAATAGTTTCCTCAATTTTCTTGCAACCCATGCAGCTCAAATCCCCCATTTTTCAGCTAATTTTACCTTAATAAGAGTCAAAATTATGAACAAAGATTGGGACTTTATTAAAGAAGAAACACATGCAGCCCGAAAATCAGACCTGAAAGACTGTAATTTGAATGCAAAACTTAACTGGTTGGTTCTTGAACAGAAGATCAAACGCAGAGACAAGGTAAAAGAAAATTGTGGGCTAACCCAAACCCTGGGATGCAATTAATGGGGTGAGTATTCCGTTAACCACTACACAAATCATTTTTAGGGAAATGGGGTATTTACCAAAATGAGTAAAAACAGAGACGCACAAAAAAGTTAAAAACTGTGGACTAACCCAAACCTTATTTTTAGTGCAATGGGGTAAGACCGTATACCGAAATGAGTATAGTTTGAAGCCTGAAGTCATAGTATAGTGTTAAGAGCACGAGCAGTGACAAGTAACGAAATGGAATGTCACACGTTGATATGATACATTTCAACCAATAAAAGACAATCCAGTCAGCGTGTGGCAAGTGAGTGGAGAGACATCTCATACAGTGACAAGTCATTGTTTTTTCAATTTTTATGATTTTTTAATGCATTTTAATTATTAAAATTTATTTCATTTTTCTTTTTTATATAGATGTACTCTTTTTTTAAAAAAAATTATTTTTTCTAAAAAATAAAAAAAATAAAAAAAATTGAAGATGCTCGCGCCTCACACGCTTGGCGTGGAGGGAGGCTGAAGCCACGCGAGGCAAATTGCCGAGGATGCTGATGTGGCACAACGAGCGAGGAAATACCTCGCCGCTGAGTTATCTTTGTTTTTAGGGTATACTTTCTTGATTCTTGTTGCTGAGTTATCTTTGTTCTCGTAATTTAATATGGAGCATATTCATCTAGAGTAAGGGGCTGTTTGGCAACTTCTGAATAAGTGTTGAACAAGTAAGAGGTCTGAACCATTAAGTGTTGAACCAGTAAAAGGTCTGAACCAGTAAGAGCTAGTATATTACTTAACTATTCAGAGGCAAATGTCTGATCATTTTAGATAAGAGGTCTTAACCATTCAGATTCTGTATAATACTTAACCATTCAGAGACAAATGTCTGAGCCATTCAGATATCTGAACCATTAAGAGGCTGAAACAAACAGTTTAAACCATTAAGTGCTGAACTATTCAGACATTTGAATCATTAAGAGGCTGAAACAAACAGCCCCTAAGTATCATTTCAATAACTAGAATTTCATTTTAGACAACAATTAATGATGTTGCCAAATCCACTCGAAAAAGGTTGTATCCATATCCTTCACCTAAATTTGCTAAATTCATATCAATATTAAATTGAATTAATGAATATAAATTTAGTAAATTTAAATAAAAGCTCTGAATATACCACTTTTTAGAGTGAATTTAACAAAACCCAATTTATATTAGAATGAAGTTTTATAAAAAGAACATAATCCCCATTGTAGTTAACTATACCCTCCAAAAGTTAAAACAGCCATTTGATCTCTGTAATGGTACATAGCAAGAGTACAATTTTTAGTCAAATACAAACTTTGACTAAACACAAAGCAGTCAAATCCACAATAAGCCTAACCTCTCCATATAGACAAGTCCACAATGCTAGTAGAGACTAACCCTCCAATGCAAAATGTGACAAAAACACGAACATTTTACATTCATAGTAAAATTCTCTCCTCCTTAGGTCGCGTTCCAAAGGCCGAAATCGCTCACCCGGGCCCCTCCACCGCCCCATTGACGTTGTTTCGTTTAAACAAAAAGTAGACAACGACGCCCCGTTTGTAGTCTCCACCTTAAAATATGAAATAGTGCATTGTATTATAAGAAAAGTACTATTTTAACCCTGGAAATGACATCATTGTATGTCATTCACAATTCACAATATGTTTGGTTCAAGAAATTTGGAAGAAAACAAAAAGAAAATGGGTTTTCCCCAATTTCTCACCAAAATGAGAGGAATTTGATTTTCCATTATCTTAATACATTGCCTTCTTATTTTCTCTTCCTCTCTAACCAAAATGAAAAATGTTTTCCTTCTCATTTTTTTTCTCTCTCAATTTCCTTGAACCAAACATAGTTTCAATGTAGCATGATCCAAAGAAGTGTAAGAAACCTCACCATATGCAAAAACCATTGACATTTGTTATAGTGCAGACTAATCCAAGCCTTCTTCTCCATCAACAACAAAAAGCGGGTTCAAAAACTTGGCCACAAATGCCCACATCTTATACACGTCCTCAAAATTGGTCAAGAAACCGAGCGTCGCCGTGACCACCTCGACCCGGAAGAGCCGGTTCTTGCGGTCGTGGCACCCGCTGGACATCAGCTTATACGGCGCGAAATCCACGCCCTCCAAATTCCCGGCCGCCGGATCCCCGTCGCCGGCCGCCTGCTGTATGTGGCTGAGGATGCCAACGCCGAGAGATATCCCGTGTCGCTCCGCCAGCTTCTGGACGGTCTCCGGGTGAATCAGACCGCCGTCCCGATCCGCCCGGACGTTGAACGCGACCGACCCGCCCCTTTCGTACTTCACCTTGGGGCCATATATTTGCACCAGAGCCCCTCCGTTGGGGAACTGGAGCTGCAGGAGCGAAGTGACGAGCCAGTTTGCAAGACACCTTAATCTGTGGCTTGTTTTGTTGAGGCCCAGGGTATCCACGTGGTCCAGATGGCAGCAGATTATCTCCGGGTCCTTCCTCCCGACGCGCCTCAGCTCTCTTCTTCTCGACAGCCTGAAATCGCACTCTTTCGCGGAGAGGAATTGACCCGAATAGTCTGAGTTCAGGTACGGGCTGTAACCCGACCCGATCCGGCCCGAATACCCGTATTCGCTGTCCGCTTCCTCCTCGTACCTGGTGCTTGAACCGTCCCGGTCCGAGGAGCTATCGTCTTCTAAATCCAGGAACATGTCTTGGACCTGTTTCGACGTGAAGACCCCGGAGAATGCGGGGAGATGGGACCCATATCCGAATTCGTCTTCTCCCCCTTCGAATCCCAAGCCGGAATCGAAACAAGAGTCTAGAGAGTCGCCGTGGTACTGAGGCAGCTCGGGCGTGATCCGGACCATGTCGGATCCGGTCCGACCGGGTTGGGTCTGGAGGGTCGCCATCGCCGATTTCTTGATCAGGAGGCAGCCGAAGCCGGTGGGGTCGGAGCCGAAGACCTTGTAGAAGGACGTGATGATGAAATCGGGCCTGAAAAGGGACAGCCCGAGAGAGTCCATATCCTTTGGGCCTAACGAGCCGGCGTCCAGTAAGACATGCCAGTTGTGTTGTTGGGCCAAGGCCATCCATTGGTACGAATACGTGGCCCCCGTGACCCGGGACTGGACCGGAAACGCGAAAAGCCCAACCGCAGAAGCCCTCTTCTTCTTCCTCCTCCTCCTCTTAGAAATCTCCTTCCTCAGTTCCTCCGAACAAGGGTTCAGAGACGGCCACCTAAACCAGGCCTTGGAAACCTTAGCGCCCTTCTGTTTGGCACATTGGGCCATCAAATTCACAGATTGGCTCTCGTGGTCAAACATGGTCAACAGATTCTTGTTCCGGTCGAAAGGGTAAAACTCCCCGACCAGTTTGAAAGCAGAGCCTCTGCTGACGGTGAAAACCAGGGCGTACTCACTCTCGGGAATGTGCAAGTAATCCATGATCCTAACCTTAATGTCGTGTTCCATGGTTCCCTCCTCCGCGCCGCCGTGCAGGGCTTGATTGCTGAGGTTTGCGGTTATCTGTTTTAAGGTAAACCCAGATGTGTTCCAAGAATGGAGGGTTTGGTGGTGGGAGAACAACCCAAAGCCGCAATAGTCAAGGCACACCTTAGATTCCGGGTCGGAGAGGTGACTGTAATCGTTCAGTCTCAGCTGGTGGATGATCTTTTCTGAAGATTGGAACTTTGGGTACATGGTTAGGAACTTGATGAAGGATTCTTGGTAATCGGGGATGGATTCTTGGGTGTGGAATGCCCGGTCAGCGGCTAGGGCAGTGGCTTTCAAGAATTCCTTCTGGGCATTTAGCCTGGCCAGAGACATTGACCTGCCCAAGCCTACTTCATCTTCATCTTCTTTGGTTTCCAGTGACCCGTTCTCCGAGGAGTCTTCCAGGGCTTCCCCGAGTTTCAGCTCCTGCAGTCGTCTCAGGATGGAAGAAGGGGTGGGTCTGGTTGCGCCGGACTCCTCTCCTCTTCCTCCTTTCCGGCCAAAGATCATGGCGGCGCAGTGGGACAGTGGTTTCCATAGTGAGAGATGCATTTGGGTTTTTGAAATTTGAAATCTTGGCTCCAACAGTAAAGCAAGGGCTAGCAAGGAAAGAAAGATGAGGATTCAACATGAATGGGTGTTCAAACTTGAAATATGAAGAGGCATAGAATTCTTTTTTTGAAAAAAAATCAAGACTTGGTCTGAAAAAAGCATAAAAGGTAAAGAGAGAGCCAAAGATATCTGGTTTGGAACAAACCTTTGACGTTAAAGAGAACAAAACCTTAGCTAGCTTTAGTCTCCCACAATTCAAACCCCAAGAATCTCTCCATTTATGTCTTCTGCCCCCCTTCAAAGATTCCGTACCCAAATGTTAAAGAACCCAATTTTGAATCCTTAGAATAAGTATCAGACAAAGAAAAAGAATCTAGAAGATAACAAGCCGCCTTGTTTCAATTTACAATCAAGAAAATTTCAAAAAATGAAACCAAAACTAAAGAAGAATCAAAGGAAACCTAGGAAAAGAAACACAGGGGGGAAAAGGTTAGAAAAACCAGAGCACTGATAAATGGCAAAAGCTGTGGAAGAAGAACGCCAGACAAAACAAACAAAAGATCGGAGCAAGTGATAGATCGCAGAGCAAATAAAGAGAACTCAAGAAGGACGTCACCTCATTTATGGCTTCATATCTTCTTCTTGTTTTCCCGGTGGCCCATATTAATTACGTGCCTTTTTCTGGTTCTCTCCATTTTCTGATTAGAAGTTACACGTCTCACGTTTTACAAAGTAAACTTCGGGTTACTTTGAATTTTTTAATAAGATTTCTCAGATCTCATGTTATTCAAAATAAAGTTTGGATTCTTACCATTTTTAATGTTATATTCTGAGTGTACATTCTATCTATATACGCGTTAAGATTGAAGATTTCGTTACATTGGAAAATTGAAAAATTTCTTTAAACTCTAATAAAATAATGATTTTAAGGTAAAGTTTCGTATTTGTCAAAGTAATGGAATTTCTGAAGGAATGTACCATGATGTATATTAATATTGCTACCCCTGCACACTATATTTCACATCTCTCACCGTCATTTAGTAAGTAATATAGATCTTGCCAAAAATTAAATGGTAGATCTAAAGTCTATCATGGACCTACATATGAGCAAAATAAGTATTTCTTTATTATTTAAATAAGCTTTTGTTTTTTAGATAAAAAATAAAAAAATTGTGTAAGAAAGTCCACAAAAATTAAAAGCACTCAAGCTGCACCACAGAAGCACTCATTCAATGGATAGGTCTTCAAAATTTCAAATATTACTCTAAATTAATGTTTTCTTTTTTCCTTTTTGATTGTCCCAACATAAATTTTAGATTCCATGAAAAAGTGGCTCATATTGATCCTCACTCCTCCCTACGTAAAAAACAAACGGAAGATTAATTTAAGATAGATGTAGTATTAGTTCTAAAAAAGGATTGTATTAGTTCTTGACATATAATATATCACAAAGTTTTAAATAAATATACAAATTTTATTTGTTTTTCATATTTGTTACTCCTCAATAAAATACATATTGTAATTTGTAAATGATGTGAATGGTATATAATGGGATAAAATGATACCCGGAGTATTTTTTTTATGCTATAAATTCTATTACAATTTAAAATCTGTTCATATATTTTTAATCTATATATGTAGTATAATCTAAAGTAGATAGAGTTACTACCTTTACAGAAGTTCAAACATTTGACGTTCCATTTAGAAGATTTACCTTGATTTTATTATACCACAAGATCTTTAGCAATAAAACAATATTCCTAGAAACTCAATGATACAAAATTTGATCATTGTTATGTGTTCTTGTGTGTCCATACAAAGCTCAAAGTTGGGAGTCTCTTAATTGAGAGCACTAGAAATGGCTGTGAAGCCCTAGAGCTTTAAAATTTCTTTCTCTGTAATATGAGTTTTAACTTATCTCACAGTTTTAATGTAAATGATTTTAAAACCTCGGGACTTTAAAGCGGGCTTCAGATTTTTATTTTTAATTTTTTAAAACACATTTTGTAAAATTAAATTAATAAAACTTCATTAATAAATTAAATTTAAAAGACAATAGCTTCATTAAATAAAAACATCACATTCAATAAAAAAATTAATTAAAAAAGTACATTAATAAAAAAACTAAAGTAAATTATATTTGGTTTTGATCTCTTTTTGTCTTCTCTCATAAAGCATATGTTTGAAGCCCCTTAATGTATCAATGTCGGTTTCCATTATTTCGACATCTCCCTCTCTTGACTTCTCTTGCCTTCGTTTCTCCCTCTCTTCCTCTTAGTATTAAACACCCACACTTGTTCAACCATTGTCCACAGATATCATCGTGAGAGGAAACAGAGCCTGACCCTGCAGAATCCGAGGCAATGGATTTTGTCTTCTTCCTTCTGATCGATTGTGGAATGGAGTCCTCATCGTCGGAGTCATCTAGGTTGAAGGGAGGCCTTTGTTTCGACGAGTCAATAGTTCATCGACCTCGATCTTGGCGTAGGATCTTTTCTTTGACGACGGTCTGGCTTCGGAGTTGTTGTCATTTTGGTGAACGGATTAAAATTCTCCATATATCAACGGGGACCTTGCCTTGGTGCATGTCGCCTTGATAAAATAATATTCTTCACTCTGTTGGTCTATTTTCATTACTTATTTGATAAAATAATATAGTCATGTCACCTTCTGATGTTTGATGTAGTTTTTAAGTATTCCTTCCGTTCAAAAAAACAATGTCACATTTATTATTTCGGTCTCTTAATAACTTTGTTAGTTTATTCGTTTTGGTTGACTATTTAATAAAATAAAATTCTCTTGTTACATCTTGTTTTGTTGAACTTTTTGATCTACTTTTGATCGATGTATATAATTTTTATGTTTTAGGGAGCATTTGTATATTACTTTGTGAAAAAATTATTGAGTATTTGATAAAACAAAATATATTTTTTACTTGTCATTTTGTAGAATTTTTCACATAATTTAACATGCAATTTTATTTCAATTTGTAAATAAATCATTTCAAAAGACAAAAAGTTTTGCCACGAAACGACCAATTTATAATATTTTTACGGGTCATGCTACAATTACACCACAAATTGTACCTCATTTGTACACCGCAGTTATACACAAACATTTTGATGGTTTACACCGACACAAATGTTGGTGCGTTAAAAAAAATTTACACGGACACAGAGTGTTGGTGCATTAACAAAAATTAGTTTTACACCAACACAAAATATTGGTGCAAACTTGCGGGGTACAAATAGCTTTATCCTATTTTTACTTTTGAACGGTTTATACTCCCTCCGTCCAAAAAAGAACTTCCCACTTTCTTTATTCGTTCGTCCACAAAAAAACTTCCCGTTTCTATTTTAGGAAAGTTTTTGCCAATGAAATGTCCATTCTACCCTTATTCTCTACTTCCTCTCCCTTTCTTTTTTCTCTTTTTTTCTTTTTTCTTTTATCGTTTTTTCTGCTCCGGTTGCTTTTCTCCTTTTTCTCCCTCTTCTTCATTCTTTTTCTCTTCTTTTTTTGTTCTCCTTCTTTCTTCTCTTTTCATCTTCTTCTTTCTTCTTCCTTCCGTTTCTGTCTTCTTCTTCTTTGTTCTTCCATCTTCTTCTTCTTATTTCTTCTTCATTTTTTTCTGTTTTTTCTTCTTCTTCTTTCGTCAACTGGAAGAAGAATTTTTTTTCCAAATCTGGTTGCATCTTCTCTGGATCTAGGTTTGTAGTGACAAAATTTTTAATTTTTTTCCAGATCTATGAAGGGATGTTGATTTTCTTCCCTAACTAGAAGTCTAAAAATAGATCTTTGACGATGGGGGCTTGTGACGGCGAGAGATGCAGGTTGTGACGGCGAGAGGATGCCAGGGCTGCGACGGCTGGGCGCTTCGATGGCAGGGGCTTTCGACGGCGGGTGATGCGGAAGCATCATCGGC